TTCCCGAGTAGCTGGGATTACAGGCGCCTGCCACCCCGCCCAGCTAATACTTGTATTTTTAGTAGAGATAGGGTTTCACCATGTTGGCCAGGATGGTCTTGATCTCTTGACCTCATGATCTGCCCGCATTAGCCTGTCAAAGTGCTGGGATTACAGGCATGAACCACTGCGCCCAGCCTTATTTATTTTTAAAATAATAACCGTTTCAGGCCCGGCGCTGTGGCTCATGCTTGTAATCCCAGCACTTTGGGAGGTCGAGGCAGGCGGATTGGCTGAGCTCAGGAGTTTAGAATTACCCTGGGCAACATGGTGAAACCTAGTCTCTACTAAAATACAAAAAAATTGGCTGGGCATTGTGGCGCACGCCTGTAATCCCAGCTACTCAGGAGGCTGAGCCAGGAGAATTGCTTGAGCCCAGGAGGCGGAGGTTGCAGTGAGCTGAGATCATGCCATTGCACTCCAGCTTGTGTGACAGAGTGAGACTTTGTCTCAAAAAATAATAATAATAATTTTTTAAAAATAGCCATTCCAATGGTTGTGAAGTGGCATCTCATTATGGTTTTTATTTGCATTTCCCTAATGGCTAATGATGTTGAGCATTTTGTTATACTTAGTGACCATTTGTATGTCTTCTCTGGAGAAATGTCTATTCATGTCTATTATGTGTTTTTGAGTTGGATATTTTTTGGTCAATTTTTTTAGGGTTTCTTTTTTTTTGTTTTTTTTGAGACAGAGTCTCGCTCTGTGGCCCACGCTGCAGTGCAGTGGCCGGATCTCGGCTCACTGCAAGCTCCGCCTCCTGGGTTCACGCCATTCTCCTGCCTGAGCCTCCCAAGTAGCTGGGACTATGAGGCGCCCGTCACCACGCCCAGCTAACTTTTTTCTTTTTAGTAGAGACAGGGTTTCACCGTGTTAGCCAGGACGGTCTCGATCTCCCAGCCTCATGATCCACCCGCCTCGGCCTCCCAAAGTGTTGGGATTACAGGCGTGAGCCACCGTGCCTGGCCTAGGGTTTCTTTATATATTCTAGATATTAATCCCTTATCAGATGTGTGATTTGCAAATATTTTCTCCCATTCTGTGGGTTGTCTCTTCACTCTTTTGGTCTGTTCTTTGATGTACAGAAGTTTTTAGTTTTGGTGAAGTCCAATTTATCTTTTTTTTTTTGTCTGTGCTTTTGGTGCTATATCCTAGAAATCTTTACTAAATCCAGTGTCATGAACATTTTTCCCTAGATTTTCTTCTAAGAGTTTTGACGGGTTTTTTTGTTTGTTTATTGTTTTTTGAGGCAAGTTCTCATTTTGTTGCCCGGGCTGGAGTGCCGTGGCATGAACACGGCTCAAAGCTGCAGCCTTGACCTCTCCAGCTCAAGTGATCCTCCTGCCTCAGCCCCACAAGTAGCTGGGACTACAGGCATGTGCAGTCAGGCCCAGCTGATTTTCATGTTATTTTGTAGAGATGAGTTTTCACCATGTTACCTGGGCTAGTCTTGAACTTCTGAGCTCTGGTGATCCACCTGCCTCAGCCTCCCAAAGTGTTTCAGATTACAGGTGTGAGCCACCGCAACTGCCCAGGTTTTAACTCTTAAGTTTAGATCTCTGATCCTTTATATACTTATTATTATTTTTTATAGAGATGGGGTCTTGCTATGTTGCCCAGGCTGGTCTTGAACTCCTTGGCTCAGCAAGCCTCCCATGATGGCCTCCCAAGGTGCTGGGACTATCGGTATGAGCCACTGCACCTGGCCTCTTTACTTTTCAAATTAAACTCTCTATTTTGATATAATTATAAATTCACATGCAGTTATAGGAAAAAATACAGAGATCCTAGGTGCCCTTAGGTTTTGTTTTTTTATTTAGCATTTAGTCCATTTACATTTAATGAAATAGTGATACATTTGGGTTTAATCTGCTATCTTACTCTTTATTTTCAAAGTGCCTATTCTCTGTTCATTTTTCTCTCTACTTTTAGGTTAATTTTTATTATCCTATTTTTCCTCTTCTATTAGCTTGAAAGTTATATGCTCTTTTCTCAATTTTAAGTGGTCACCCTAGAATTTAAAGTAGGCATTCGTGTTTTACCAAAATCTAATGATAGTATATACTTTACCTTCTTCCTGGACAGTGCAAGGATCCTAAAACACTTCAACTCCATTTATTGTTGTCATTTATTTTAATTATTTCTGTTTTATATCACACAACCCATTGTTTTATGTAGTCAGATATTTAGATTTTCACCCTTATAGTCACTGTATTTGTTGTTCTTCATTCCTTCTGGAATCTGACTTTACATCTGGAGGGGGATCATTTTCTTTCTCCCTGAAGGATGAAAGCATGAGTCTGCTAATGAATTCTTTTGGTTTTTGTTTGTTCGTCTCAAAATATCTTTTTTTTTTTGAGACGGAGTCTTGCTCTGTCACCCAGGCTGGAGTGCAGTGGTGCGATCTTGGCTCACTACAAGCTCCGCCTCTCGGGTTCACGCCAGTCTCCTGCCTCAGCCTCCCAAGTAGCTGGGACTACAGGCACCCAACACTACACCCAGCTAATTTTTGTTGTAATTTTTAGTAGAGATGGGGTTTCACCGTGTTAGCCAGGATGGTCTTGATCTCCTGACCTTGTGATCTGCCCGCCTCGGCCTCCCAAAATGCTGGGATTACAGGCGTGAGCCACCGCGCCTGGCCTCAAACTATCTTAATTTTACCTTCATTCTTGAAGGATGCATTTGCTGAGTATAGAATCCCATGCTGGCTGTTACCTTCCTGTATCTCCAAACATATCATTCATCTGCCTTCTTGCTCCCACTGTTTCCGTTGTGAAGCCAGGTATCAGGCTAATTATTGCTCCTTTGAGGGTCATCTCTTTTTTCCCTCTGGTTGCTTTTTCTTTAAGATTATTATTATTATTTTTTTTATGGTGGGGTGCAGTGGCGCAATCTCGGCTCACTGCAACCCCCACCTCCCAGGTTCAAGCAGTTCTCCCACCTCAGCCTCCCAAGTAGCTGGGATTACAGGCACGCACCACCACGCCTGGCTAATTTTTGTATTTTTAGTAGAGACGGGGTTTCACCATGTTGGCCAGGCTGGTCTCGACCTCAAGTGATCCACCTGCTTTGGCCTCCCAAAGTGCTGGGATTATAGGCGTGAGCCACTGCACCCGGCCAAGATGATCTGTTTTTAAGGGGAACAATAGACACTCCAGACTAACTAGATGGGGGAGGACGTGATTTGAAAAACTACCTACTGGGTAATGTTCTCTCTGCCTGGGTGTGGTATACCCATGTAGCCTGCACATGGAGCCCCTGTATCTAAAATAAAAGTTGAAATTGAAAAGAAAGAAAAAATGCTTTTGTGGCACAAGTTCTCAGGATTGCCTGGGGCTGTGCCATGGGGGAAAAAATTAGAAAAAAATACTTTCATGTTATAAAAACTATCTGTTTTTATTGTTTGTTTGTTTCCTCTATCCCTCCCTTCTTTTTTTGTGCCTAACTATGGTTTTCTTTTTAGTCATCTCCTTTGGTTTGTAGGACTTTTAAAGTTTGTGGCAGGTCTTTGAATCAGCTTTAGTAAGTGCTTAGATATCTTTAAATATTCCTTTGCCCTAATCTCTTACATCTTACTTAGGAATCCCAATTATATGAGTCTTAGTCTCTCTCACTCTTTCCTCCATCTCTTACCCACAATTCTATATCTTCCATTCTTTTGTGCTCTCGGGGACTCAGCCTAGGTTTTGTTATCTGGGTTCCCGGTGCCCAGAGTGGGAGCAGTGAGTCTGACATCAGTGAATGAATGAACCATATTGCGTCGGGATACGGTGTGTTGTTATTTTTTATTTTTTTGTGATCACAGAAGTAATGTGTTTATTGTACGTCATTCAGACATTGTAAACAGTCGCCATAATCCCCCTCCCAGAATTACCCATCATTAATACTGTTTCATGTTCCTTTACTCCTGTGTTCATTTCTCTTCATCCTCATCTGCATTGGACGTTAATGGTCTTTTTCACAGTTGCCCATCTGACAGGTCAGCATCTTGTTTGGGTTTGCCTTTCTGATGGGTGTTTGTTTAATCACTTGCTTACATACCCATCTGCAGATTTCCTGAAAGTGGATACTTGTCACCATGTGTGTTGACACCTTAGTTTTCACAAACGACTTCCAGATGGGGAAGGCCAGGCTTTCTCCCTTGCCGTAGACAGCGACCATCCCTGCCCCAGCTCACACGGTGCTGCCCTTGAGCCCCAGAGCACGACCCTGATCAGCTCTCATCCCCAGCACTGGTACCACACTTAGGCTGGGCTGGGGAGGTGAACTGGTGGAGGGCTGGGTTTTGGAGTCAGCCACACCTGGGCTGGAGGCCCAGCAGCACTGACCTGGCCTGATTTTCCTCACTTGGGAAGGCTGGTTAGCAGGGTAGGCAGCGGGTGTGGGTGACCAGAAAGGGGCTGGTGCAATTTATGTGAAAGGCCTGCTGCAGGCCCCGGGAAGTACTGAAGGCAGAGCAGAGCTCTCGGAGTCAGAAAGCCCTGGGCGTGAATCAGACAGTCCACTGAGCTGCTGTGGACAAGTTGTTACACCTCTGAATTTGTTTTCCTGTAAAATATGTCGCTCAAATAGGAGTAGTAACCTCTGTACAAGGTTCCAGGGCAAGAGCAGCGGGGATGGAGAGGCAATGGCTGGTGGGTTTGGCTGGTCACGAGGGTGAACCGTGTGGCGGCCACCTGCTCAGGAGCAGCCTGGGGCCTGCGGGCGGGGTCTGGGCCTCAGGCAGCCTTGGGACACTGTGGCCTCCCCCACCTCACCTGGTGCCCAGCAGTCTCTTACCTTCACGCTGAGAACATTTAGGGGTCTGTGGTCAGTGGCACTTGTGGCCCTGTGCCAAGGAGTGCCCAGTCTTCGCTGGGGAGGGAAGAGAGGTCTGTGGGGCAGGGGCCGTGCCGGGGTTGCCTCCAGCTTGCTGGAAGGCCCCGGGGAGCTCTGAGCAGCCCGTTCTGCTCTCCCTCCAGCCCTGCTTCCTCAAGGACTGGGAAATGCACGTCCACTTCAAAGTCCACGGCACAGGGAAGAAGAACCTCCATGGAGACGGCATCGCCTTGTGGTACACCCGGGACCGCCTCGTGCCAGGTGGGCCCTGCGGGGCCCCAGGCCGGGGGTGGGCACGGGCATGGCTGCTGGCCCCCCAGGGAGGTGGCGTGGGGCTGCCTGTGGCTCGTGGGGCCCAGCGTCTCTCCCGTTAGGAAAGTGCTGCTCCCGTGGATGAAGTCCTGCGCCTCCGGAAGGAGCCTGGCTCTGAAAGGAAGGCTGCTGAGGGGAGAGGAGCAGCTGGGCCCTGCAGCTCAGCCCTACACCCTCGTTGGCCTGGGTTTACCATTCGCAACAGTTACTGTTGTAAAAAAGCCGAACATGAAGACTGTGTGGCTGTGACTGCAGGTGGCCCACAGACCCGGAGGTGTCACCTCAGTGGCCCTCCACAGAGTGTTTGCGGCCCCGGTGTAGAGGATGGAGCCTCCGGAGTAGGGCTGTCTCCTGTGGCTCACTGTGTTTTGTAAGCCAGGCACCCCCTTGACCCCTACCTCAGTCCCCTCCCAGTTCAGCCTTCAGACTTGAGTCCTCTGTGTCACACGCCTAGACTCCCCGCTTCTGGGGAGAAAGCCTCCGCTTTCTCCTCTCACCATCTCTTCTCTCTCGGTGAATGGCCATTGAGTTGGGCTCTCTTGCCCCCACCCACATTGGCATTGCCTGCCTTTCAGGTACCCATGGGACAGCTCCCGTTTCTCCCATTGTGAGAGCATCTCCTTGTAATTCTAGGGCCTGTGTTTGGAAGCAAAGATAACTTCCACGGCTTAGCCATCTTCCTGGACACCTACCCCAATGATGAGACCACCGAGGTAGGCCCCGCTCTCTCCTGCTGAGCAGGAGAGGAAGGACTGGGCAGTGGGCTAGAGGAGGGGGCCCTGGGGCTTCCGTGGTCCCGGCACGAGAGGAGCCTCCAGGGATTGGGGCGGCGGGTGCCCCTGCTCGCCCCACAGGCTGGGCTGCTTGTGGAGTAACCGGTGTCTTGGTCCCAGCGCGTGTTCCCGTACATCTCGGTGATGGTGAACAATGGCTCCCTGTCCTACGACCACAGCAAGGATGGGCGCTGGACTGAGCTAGCGGGCTGCACGGCTGACTTCCGCAACCGCGATCACGACACCTTCCTGGCTGTGCGCTACTCCCGGGGCCGTCTGACGGTGAGCCGGCTGGGCGGGGGGTGCCGATCCCACAGAGGCTCAGGAGGGCAGGCTGCTGTCCTGCGAGGTGCTTAGCGTGCTGGGCCCCGCAGGTGATGACCGACCTGGAGGACAAGAACGAGTGGAAGAACTGCATTGACATCACGGGAGTGCGCCTGCCCACCGGCTACTACTTCGGGGCCTCCGCCGGCACCGGCGACCTGTCTGGTGAGTGGGCCGGGCCAGGCACTGGTTCCCAGCCCGACTCACCCTGAGGGACTGGGAGCTTTCCGTGCAGTTGATTGCCTGCCTTCGTGTGATTTCTGGACTCAGCTGACTGTGGTTCCTCCTCTTCCTTTCGTCTGTAAATGGCCTGTCCGGGCCTCAGTCCTTGAACAGCCCCTTGGCAACCTTCCCCGTCAACAGGAGGCATTGGGTCAATTAGATTTGGGTGACGTAGATTCCCAGATTTATCTCCAGCTCAGACCGCTCCAGACCTGCTCAGCCCTTGTGCCCAGAGCTGAGGCCACGTCTTGCCCTTCAGGATGTCAGTGGCACCTCTGCTCCTCTATTTGCTTGCTGTCTTTCCGGACCCTTTTTTCTCTCACATGGCACCTCTGGTCCATCAACAGTCCCTGTGGCTTTATTTTCACAGCATGTCCCACCACTTCCCACCCCTCCCTGACTACCTGGAGGCTTCAGGCCACCAATATCTCACTGGAGCCTCCCAAGTGATTCCCTCCTTCACCAGCCCCCAACAGTCTCCCCCGAGCACAGCAGCTAAGTAATTGCCTTCAGCCGGTGTGAGGCCTCCTGCTGCTCTGGTCAGAGCCCTGCAGGGGGCACCAGGGCCAGGGCCTCTGTGCCAGCCCTGCCACCTCTGGCTCCTCGCTCACTGCTCCCCCTGCCTACTGTGGCTTCCAGCTGCTCCCTGGATGCGCTTGTGCCCTCCTGCCCCAGCTGTTTCACTCTTGTCTCCGAGGGCCTTGCTCAGATGTCACCTCCTCAGCGCAGCCTTCCCTGATTCCCTTGTGGAACGTCGCGCCCCCTCCTGTAGTCCCCAACCCACTCCCCATCACCTTTGCCGGCTTTATTTTTCTTCATAGTATTTACCATCTTTGAATCTACCGAGTAATGAATGCTGTTGTCTCTGGCCCTCCTGCTCAATTGTAAGCTCTATAAATGGCTCTTGTTTGGCCCGGGGCAGGTGCTCGGTGAGCACTGGGGTGCCTCTAACCTGCTCAGGCCTCACTGGTCACCAGGCCATGGTGGCCTTGGCTGCGGTTCTCGGTCTCTCTTTGGGTCCCTGAGCAGGTGCCAGGCCCAGGGCCAGCTCCTGACCAGAACTGGCACCTGACACGGGGGACCTGACATGGGTGGTTTATCCTCAGGATGACCCATTCCAGGGCCTGTAGTCTGCCCACTGCCCAGGAGCCTCCCACTCAGCAGAGAAGTGCTTGGGTCCACTCAGACCCCAGAACATCCATTGTTTGGGGGTTTTTCAGTCATACGCCCAGCAGAGGAGAGAAAGGTCTAGTAAGCACCCCTCCTGTCTTTCGTAATTTCCAGCTCGTGCCTGGCTGGTTCTCCTCCTCCCACGGTTGCCTGGAACTTCGTCAGACTGTTTCAGCACTTGTCTTCAGAGGGTTCTCGATAGGTGCAGAGCAGCACCAGGGCTGTGGCCTGTGGCAGCTCTCACAGCTGTTGGGAGAGCCCAGCACAGAGTGGAAGAGGCGCCATGAGGGGAGCCATGTCTGACCTCTGGTCAGGGGTCATCAGTGCCAGGCACCTTACGGGTGATGTCACCTGATATATTTTTAGGCAGATAGCTGTCTCGCTCCCTTTTTACTCAACCATTGGGAGTTTGAGAACTAAAGGGATTTTTCCTGAGATACGAGCAGGAAGCAGCAGAGCCCAGACGGGAACTGGGGCCTGACTCCAGGGCCTGACTCCAGGGCTGGTCCTTGTCCTGCAGGGCCATTCGCTGTCTCTGAGGGCTGTGCATGTTCAGCTGTCACACTGCGCACCTGGCCGAGCTCTTGCTCAGTAGGTCCTCCCTTGGCTCCAGAGATTCCTGCTCCGTTAAACAAGGCCTTTCCTCAGATTCCAGTCCCAGGCTGACCAGGACCCACGTGTTGACTTTGAGCCTCAGCCTCCTTGTCTCCACAATGGAGTGATCCGTCAGTGTCAAGCCCGAGCTCTTTCCTGCCCATGCCATTGGACAGAGCCTTTCTCCCGGTCTCCTCAGGCACAGCCGCTGGCCTCCGTTAGGCTCAGGCCCTTAGCTGGTTGCCGAGTTGTTCCCCTACAGCCTGTATGTGGGTCTCTGTGACAAGAATGTCTGGTGGCTCCTGCCCTTGGGAGGCTCAGGTGACTGCTGGTCCTTCCTGGGTCTGTTTTTGAGCACGTACTCTGCAGGCAAGCCATCTTCTGTGTGGTGTAGTCTCATGTACTTGCCATGGCAACCACACAGATGGAGGTCATCACTCCTTTACACATGAGGAAACTGAGCCTCAAAGAGGGCATCAGACCCCAGGATTTAGACCCAGACGATTCTGCTTGTAAAGCCCTTACTGTTTTCTCTTCACTCTGCCTCCCCTCAGTTTTTTATTGCTGGGGAGTGGAGGGAGCTGGGAAGAAAACAGGCCCTAGATGGGCAGGGCGGCCCTCTCCCCGGGGGCCTGGCAGGTTCACTGGTTGTGGCAGCAGCTTCCCTTAGGGGAGGGGCTTGGGCCACATGCCCTGAGGCTGGCCTCCAGGCTGTCACAGGTTTATTCCTGTCCTCCAGACAATCATGACATCATCTCCATGAAGCTGTTCCAGCTGATGGTGGAGCACACGCCCGACGAGGAGAGCATCGACTGGACCAAGATTGAGCCCAGCGTCAACTTCCTCAAGTCGCCCAAAGGTGCGTGTGCACGGCCCCGCCCCCCCGGGCCTGGGCGGCCTGACCCGGAGTGGGGTGAAGCCAGCCTGGCGATCTTGTGGTCCAGTCGTGGTTGTGGTGATTGTGGTCTGGGCTCTTGAATCAACCCTGTCCTGGCAAGCGGCACTGGCTGGCCCTGTCTGAGCTCCTCGAGGATTGGGCTTGGATTGTGTCAGCTCTGGCAAGTTTTTGAGTAAATGAATGAGGTGGAAGAGGAGTCTGCAGAGTCAGTCCCTGAGGACATCATAGCCACGTGAGTGCCGTGGCAGCAAGCAGTGGCTGACCAGCAAATGTGTGAGTGGTGAGCCGGCGTCCTCCCTCCCTAGGCGCTGGGGCGGTGGCCAGCAGAGCCAGGGGGCTGGCTATGTTGGCCCCCCTGTCCCTTCTGTGAGCCGCCTGGAAGGAGGTCGTGCTGCTGGCCAAGGGGTGGATTCCTTAGCTAGAAGGAGGGAGAAGGCAGGATTGGAAATTGGGTTTCTACAAAACCCGGAGCCTGGGTTCTTCCCGTGGCACTAATTAGCTACCCCTTTCCTCACACAGTGAACATTGTGGTTGGAATGAGGCACCTGTGTGTGGAGAAGTCCACCCTAAGAACCACAGATGCGTGCCTGGGGGTCCAGCCAGTGACGCAAGTGTGCGCAGCGCGGGCTCTGTCCTAGCCCAGCCCTGGGTCCCCATGCCGCATGGGCCAGTTTGGCTGCATCTTTCTGCTTTTCAGGAGAAGCCAGGATCCAGTGTTTTATGTGACAAATCACTTTTTTTTTTTTTTTTTTTTGGAGGGGACAGAGTCTCGCTCTGTCGCCCAGGCTGGAGTGCAGTGGTGCAATCTTGGCTCACTGCAAGCTCTGCCTCCCAAGTTCATGCCATTCTCCTGCCTCAGCCTCCTGAGTAGCTGGGACTACAGGTGCCTGCCACCATGCCTGGCTAATTTTTTTGTATTTTTAGTAGAGACGGGGTTTCACCGTGTTAGCCAGGATGGTCTCGATCTCTTGACCTTGTGTTCCTCCCATCTTGGCCTCCCAAAGTGCTGGGATTACAGGCGTGAGCCACCGTGTGCAGCCAACAATTCACTTTTTAAAGATTCAGGTTATTTTAAAACGTTTCGGGGGCCACACAAACCTTGCTGCAGCCTTTGGTCAGAGGGCTGCCAGCCGCTGGGTGCTTTCAGAGGAGGCACCTGCCTTGCCCACCCAGCGTCCCGGGCAGCTGGCAAGGCAGGATGAACTCGTTTTTAGATTCAATCCATTTGTTCCTTCGGATGTGATCAAAGCTGCCCTCTGTGTCTAGCTATGGGCTGGGTGCTGGAGACACGGAGATCAGGCAGGCCCTGCCCCTGGGGCTCATTCTAGGAGCTGAGGCAGACAAGGAGACGGATCCGCGGGAGCCCCGAGGCTGAGTGGCTTTCTGGGGAGGCGCCATCCCTAGGGACCTCCCGGTTCAGTCAGTGACTGCTGTTGGTGTGTAGAGCAGAGGTGGGGGTGAGAGTGGCCAGCAGGCCTGCTGGTGGCAGCTTGTGCAGGAAGGGAGGATGGAGGTTGGCTTGTGGCTGGCAAGAAGGTGGCGTGTGCACTGCTGAAAGGCAGGGCCCGGGCCCGAGGCCTGGGTGTAGGGATGCCTGAGGAGACTGCACAGTGTGGAGTCGGGGGCCGCAGTCAGGGAGGGAGGCAGAGTGGCAGAAACGGCCCAGCCAGACCCCAGCTCCTCCGCACACACCCTGGAGAGCTTGGGAGAGTCAGTATCTTCTCTCAGCCTGGACAAGGGAGCGCACCAGAGGGCCCCATCCCAGGATGGGCAGGACCCGTGAGGACCCTGTGTGGAGGAGAGAGGCTGTGGGCTGGGGTGGAGTGTGGGACTCAGGTCCTGGGAGACCCTCCGAGGGGGCTGCCGAGAGTATCCAGCTGTGGGCTGGGGCAGCCTGTGACCTGGGCCTCGTTGCTCCATATGGGGCCCTCAGACCACAGTGTGGGGGCGGGGCTTAGAAAAGCAGCCTCCTGGGCCTCCCCTTATCCAGAGTTGGGCTTGGAGGAGCCCAGGACTCTGGTTTTAACCGGCTTCCTGCAGCAGAAGGCAGCCCAGGCCTGAGCCGCTGGGGTCCCGGGTCCCTGGGGTTTGGTCCTCTCTCTGCCCTGCCCTGCCCTGGGGACTGCAGAGCTGGCTGGGATGGGCTTCACCTGACCTCTGCCCCTCTCCGGTAAGGGAGTGAGTGCGACTGGCCTGTGCACCGTCGCCTGCTGTCCCGTTCCATCCCCACTGCCGTCCTGCGGCCCCTTGTTTCCTGGCCCGCGCTGCTGTTTCAGCTCCTGTTTCTTCTCCCCCAGACAACGTGGACGACCCCACGGGGAACTTCCGCAGCGGGCCCCTGACAGGGTGGCGGGTGTTCCTGCTGCTGCTGTGCGCTCTCCTGGGTATTGTCGTCTGCGCCGTGGTGGGGGCCGTGGTGTTCCAGAAGCGGCAGGAGCGGAACAAGCGCTTCTACTGAGCGGCACCACCAGCGGGGCCTGCGCCTGGGCCCAGGAGCCAATGTGAACTTTTTTTTTTACTGGGATTATAGAAGAACAAGATGACCTTATTTCTTAACCGTTTCAAATAAATGATTAAAGTATTTTCATACATTTTGCTTCTTGCCCAGCAGGGACAGGTGGCAGAGCCGAGGCTCAGGGTCTGGCACCCCTGCAGCCGGAGACGGAGGCTCTCCTGGGGCTGGCGTCTCAGTGCAGGGGTCTGTGCCTAGAGCTGGGCTGCAGCCCCTGCAGGCAGCTGTTGAACACTGGAGGGTCCCCCGAACCACACTGGGGTGGGCTCCTGAGGACGTGGGGAAGTGATTTTGTTTTGTGGCGTGTGGCACGTGTGGCGGCAGATGAGGCCTGAACTGGGAAACCCAGGCCTTCCTGTTCACCCTGAGCTGCTTCCTGAGACAGATGCTCAAGCGCGGCTGCAGGGTGGTGTGGTGGGGCTGAGTGTGACCGTTTGCTAAATAAAGTGAAATACCCAACCTCAGCCGTGTGACTGTCCTGAGGGGCTTGCTTTGCTTTCTTTTCTAATGACTTCCAGCCCACCAGGGCTGTAGAGCTTTCAGTTCGTCCGCTCTGGCCTGCAGAGTCCCAGGAGGATGGATGGGTTGCCCTGTTTCCCAGCTGGGGACACAGCTCTCAGAGGTCAAGGACAACTTGCCCAGTGTCACCTGGCAAGCGATGCTTTGGGGATGGGGCCCTGTGCTGTCGCCCACATGCTCTGGGCCTCTGGGTGAAAGGATGGGTGGCATGGGTCACCATGTGGAGGCTTGGCTGGGCAGGCGGGTGCATTGACGGGGAACTCCGGAGGGCTCTGGGATGATGTGCAAGGGGCTGGTGGGGGCAGGAGGAGGGTGGGGTGGTTGTGGCAGTCCGTCTGGGACACCTCGGGGGACAAAGATGGTAACGGGGAGTGGAAGAAAGGCAGCTGCTGAAGGCATGGCACCGTCCCCCGCAGCTTCCATAGTCATCGCCCCCAGCTGTGGCCTCTGCTGCCAGCCAGCTCTCGCACTGTGGAGGAGCACGTCCTGTCCCGTCCTAAGTCACCCATCTGGCTCTGATCCCGACTCTAGCCCTCCTTGGGGACCTTGCTGAGCCGACAATCTTGTCTTCCTCGTCCCCTTCCCACTCACTGTTCAGTTGCTTTTGAATCTACCACCTTAAAAGCAAAAGCTATCCCGCCCTCCCTGCAGTAGCCAGGCTTTTGGTAATTAACACTATCAAATAGATTATCAAATAGATTCTTTTTTTTTTTTGAGACGGAGTCTTGCTCTGTCCCCCTGGCTGGAGCGCAGTGGCACTATCTCGGCTCACTGCAAGCTCCGCCTCCCGGGATCATGCCATTCTGCCTCAGCCTCCCGAGTAGCTGGGACTACAGGCGCCCGCCACCGCGCCCGGCTAATTTTTTTGTATTTTTAGTAGAGACGGGGTTTCACCGTGTTAGCCAGGATGCTCTCGATCTCCTGACCTTGTGATCCGCCCGTCTCGGCCTCCCAAAGTGCTGGGATTACAAGCGTAAGCCACCGCGCCCGGCCTCAAATAGATTCTTATTGCAAAAAATATAGAGGGACACGAGTGAGAGTCAGGATTTTACCCTCTGTCCCTCATTCTCCAGAGCTCTTCACTGGTCCACTGTCACCCGCCTCTCGTGTTCTCTGTGTTTCCTCCTTCAGCAGGTTAGATGAGAAATTCCACACAGTGACTGAGAGGTTCGAGTTTGTGCTTCCTTCACAGGTTTGGGAGCCTGTTCATGAAGCCTGAAGAGTAATCATGATCCTCCTTATTGAAGTATTTAATTAACACTTTTCCCAAAACAGTTCCTTTCCTTGAAAAGGTGGCAGATCGTGTGTTTATGGTAGGCCCTGCTTCGGAGTGATTGAGGCACATTAACTCATGTCATCTGTAAGGCTCACCCGTCAGGTGCCGGAGGGCTTTTAGGCTAGGTGTCTAGGGCCGAGGCCGAGAGCCTGGAGCTCTCCACGGCTGCTACAGTCACACCATCAGCACCACACTCGCCAGACTTGACCTTTAACTTTTGGCTCTAACTTGGTCTTCACCAAGTTCCTGAATTATTAGGCAAATTAGTGTCCTATACTGGATGTTTCTCAACCTTGGCTGCGAAGTTCCCTGGAGAACTGTAAAGAGCCTGCCTTGTTCTCCAGTTCTGGCTGAGTAAGTCAGGTGGAGCCGGGACAAGGGCAGTTTCAAAAGTCCGGGCAGTGGTTTTAACACGTACCCAAGCTTGAGCACGAGACGGAGTTGGGCCTCATGCTGTGACAGCAGGTGTTAAAGTGATCATGCCGGTCTCTACTTGGCTGTCACGGTGGGCACCCCTTTCCATTGGAACGTAGCCTTGTTGCACCCAAGAAAAGTTGATTGTTTCAAAATTCATACCTAGGGGTACTTCCCTAGAATGATCCATGTGTATTCTTATATCCGCATTTCACACCCGCAGGACCGTGATGCCATAATCTGTTTTTGCCATGTGTGTTTAAAACTTGGAGGTATTTCATCATACAGAAGTTAAACGTGAATGTGTGGCTACGGACCTGCCATGCGACGTGAGAAATAGAGTATCACTGACACACTTGGATCCCTTTGTCTCCTCCTGCCAAAGGTGGTTGCTGCAGAATCTGACTTTTTATGTCTTTCTTAAAATTTTTACCACAGGGATCTGTATCTCTACATACGTTGTATTTGGAATTTCTGAAGGCTGTAAGAGGTGCATGGACGTATTCCTCAGCTTTTGCAATTCGGCGTTGTTGGTGAGTCTTTGACGTGGCTCAGGAAGGGTGTTTCTCGCTGTGAGGTATGAACAGACTCCAGTTTCTCCATTCTGCTACTGACCGGAGGTGGTTTAGGGCTCTTGCTCTGCAACATGATGCTGCTCTAAGCACTCCTGGATGTGTCTTATTTATTTATTTATTTATTTATTTTTGAGACAGAGTCTTAAACCGTTGCCCAGGCTGGAGTGCAGTGGCACAATCTTGGCTCACTGCAGCCTCTGCCTCCTGGGTTCAAGCGATTCTCCTGCCTCAGCCTCCTGAGTAGTTGGGACTACAGGTGTGCGCCACCTCGCCCAGGTAATTTTTGTATTTTTAGTAGAGATGGGGTTTCTCCATGTTGTTCAGGCTGCTCTCGAACTTCCGACCTCAGATGATCCGCCCACCTCAGCCTCCCAAAGTGCTGGGATTACAGGCGTGAGCCACCGCGCCCCGCTGTGCCTTTTAGTTTTTACTTCTTTCTTTGGAGGCAGAAATTGGGCATAAGACGATATGAGGGGTGGTCTCCTCCCTTACTTTAAGGCTCAAAGTAATTTAAAGTTCCAACAACATGGATTCTGAATTACTTATTTTCACAGACCCTTGCGAATGAACCCGCAGGCAGCAGGCTGCTGGGCACACAGCCGTCTGGGGAGTGGAGCTCCACTGTCACTGGGCCCACTCGCATTGGGGACAGCATTTCCACGGGAGCGAAATCAGCCACTGTGTATGCACTGTTTCAGGTTTTCTTTTGCCCACAGCCAAACCTAAGTCTTAACTCATACAAGTGGGAAGTTGTGATCAGAGGGAGAATCTAGTCTGTGGAAGCATTAAATGGTTAAGTTAGCAAATTGAGGAGAAACATCTCAGGTTATTTATTTATTTAGAGACAGGGTCTGGCTCTGTCACCCAGGCTGGTGTGTAGTGGTGCAGTCTTGACTCACTGCAACCTCTGGCTCCTGGGTTCGAGTGATCCTTCCACCTCAGCCTCCTGAATAGCTGGGACTACAGGTGCACACCACCATGCCCAGCTAGTTTTTGGTGGTATTTGTTTTTGTTTTTGTTTGTTTGTTTGTTTGTTTTTTGAGATAGAGTCTTACTCTGTTGCCCAGGTTCGAGGGCAGTAGTGCAGTCTCGCCTCACTGCAACCTCTGCCTCCCAGGTTCAAGCGATTCTTCTGCCTCAGCCGCCTGAGAAGCTGGGATTACAGGCCCACGCCACCATGCCTGGCTAATTTTTGTATTTTTAGTAGAGACAGGGTTTCAGCATGTTGGCCAGGCTGGTCTCGAACTTCTGACCTCAGGTGATCTGCCTGTCTCAGCCTCCCAAAGTGCTGATATTATAGGCATGAGTCACTGCACCCGGCCCTAGCTTTTGTATTTTTTATAGAGATAGGGTTTCACCATGTCGCCCAGGCTGGTCTTGAATTCCTGAGCTCAAGCAATCCTCCCACCTCGGCCTCCCAAAGTGCAAAGATTCTAGGTGTGAGCCATTGCATCTGGCCAACAGATCAATGTAGGAGGGAGCAGATCTTGTGGAGAGAGAAGGCGTCAGGAGGGAACTAGGCAAACCCTGGATTGACTTGTGTGAAGTCAGGTAGTGAAGATGACCAATATGTAATAAACTGGTGACTCTGGGCCATGTGCCATGCAATGGCACATCCTCATTGTCACAGCTGATCTTGGGCACTGCTGCTTGGTAGAAGTCTCCAGAAATCTGGGATCCTGGACCTGGATTCTCTTAGTATGCTGTATGGGCTGTGATATGTAGCCTGTCCTCACCATCATCCTGAAGGAGTAGAACAGGAAATCAACAGAATTTATTTGGAATTTTGGTTCCAAACTGCTGTTAATTAAAAAAAAAAAGTGCAATCTCCTGCTTTCCTGGTCTCTTAACTCTTTGAGTCTTATATTGCATGTCTTTTGCACTTTCTGATTTTGAGGTGTATCTCCTTTAGAAACTCTCCTATAGATGGTTTCAAGGTTGCCATGGTTTGTGTGCCCCCTCCAAAACTCACGTTGAAATTTCATCTCCAGCGTGGCAGTACTAAGAGGGGAGCCTTTAAGAGGTGATTGGATCATGAGGGCTTTGCCCTCAAGAGATTAATCCATTCATGGAGTAATGGCTTCATGGGTTAGTGGATTAATGGGTTATCATGGGAGAACCAGTGGCTTCACGAGAAGAGGAAGAGAGACCTGAACTAGCACGTGAGCACGCTCGGCCCCCATCCTGTGGTGCCTTGTGCCACCTCCAGACTCTGCAGAGTCCCCATCAGCAAGAAGGTCTCACCAGAGGCAGTCCCTTGACCTTGGACTTCCCAGCCTCCAGAATTACGAGATATTCCTTTTCTTTATAAATGACTCAGTTTCAAGTATTCAGAAAACAGACTAAGGCTGGGTGCGGTGGCTCAGGCCTGTAATCCCAACACTTTAGGAGGCTGAAGTGGGAGGACTGCTTGAGCTCAGGAGTTCGAGACCAGCCTGGGCAACATTGTGAGACCCTGTCTCTACAAAAAAATAAATTAGCTGAGTGTGGTGCAACTCAGGAGGCTGAGGCACAAGGATTGCCTGAGCCTGGGAGGTTGAGGCTGCAGTGAGCTACGATCATGCCACTGCATTCTCACCTGGAAATTTTTTTTTCTTTTTTTGAGACAGAGTCTCGTTCTATCGCCCAGGCTGGAGTGTAGTGGTGCGATCTTGGCTCACTGTAAGCTCCGCCTCCCAGG